AGACAAGAAAAGTTGACCAATATATGGATCTTCTTTTTAACCTCAGTCTTCTTTGAGTAATGTTTATCATTTGTAGTTGATATTTTAAGGAAACCAATTAAACATGGTTGGTTTGGTAATGCTTACCAGGATGTCTGTGGTTAAAAGATATGCACAAAAATCTTAATTTGGCTTCACCATCACAAATTGCAAAATAAATAATTAATAAAGAAATCGATGAAAGATATAGAGATTCTGTCATTCAAAGACATACAAGTCATTCAAATATTTTTATCTCCTTTAGATTTGAAGCTCCTTGCATTCCCTGGTATCATTAAAACTTAAAATGACCAGTTGAGAAATTAAACAAATACTCCCATTTTATAAAGTGGATTATGAATTTACCTGTTTAGTGCTAACATCCTATTTATTGAAAGTGGAGTATGTTGTATATGTAGTTAATATAGAGATTTTACATTGGCAGAACTATGGGAGTTCAGTAAAAATGAGCATTTGTGCATCAGAATTGGACATGAGTTGGTTACAGTTCACTGAAGGGCATGTTCTGAATGGAAGTACAGTACTAGTTACGTTCATGCAACAGAGGCTATTTCACCTTTCTTTTGTGAAAGAACACACTTTGTGATAGTGAATGAAAGGTAAGGCTGGATAGATAGAACAGAGATAGACTGACCCCATGTTTAGAAAATGTGAAAACACATTGATGATAAATAATCATATTTGATGAACATGTAGAAAAGAACAAAAATGTGATGAAGAAAGTCAATATAACAGCAATGTTATATTCAGTTTGAATTGATACATCTAAAGTTGGATTCTCAGCAAAGATACTATTTCCACAGGATCTTAATAGAACCTAAATACTTCAACTGAAACTCCATGAAACGGTAGCCACCACCTGAGGGACCATAGGCAACCTCTGTCAGGTGTCTGTGTTTACCCATCCCTGAAGTCTATAAAAATCAACCTTTTTGATAAAAGGTGAGGTGGGTCAATATATCAGCAGTGAATTTTGGTCATCATTTCAGGTACTCTTAACAGCAATATGTGCATTTACCAAGGGGAATAACATAATTAGTACTTTTCTAAGGAAAATTACATCTGACAATTATAATAATATAGATAGTAAGATAGTATTAAATGTGTGATAGTATTAAATCAAGGGATGAATGAGAACTTTTATAGTAGATTAAGTACAAATTTTAAGTATTGAATGAAAATATTGGAACTTACAAATATTTAATTGTTACTTATATGTAACATTACACAGACTGAGCAGGCTGTATTTATGAAGCTATAGATATATAAATATATGTATGTAATGACAATTAATGAAAAAAGGTCATAAATTTGAAAGAGGACATAGTTACATAGATGGAAAGGTGTAGGAGAGAGTAAAGGGAAGGAGAAAATGATTTAATTAAATCATAATCTCAAAAATAAGATAAATAGTGTTTAAAATATAGAATGGGAGTTTATTCCAGGGAAAACGGGCAGAAAAATAACAAATACAAATAAGATACTGTAGAGAAAGTGAGGAGTAAATTTAAGAGCTAGCAGTGGATTGTAAAGGAACACACTTTAGCACTTGTTTATTGATCATATCCACACACCACTGCTTCCCTCCCCTCCTGGTACCACCATCCCTTCTCTCTCCCAGCTGCTTGTCTTTTTCTCTCCTTTTTTTTTTTTACTATTAATAAATTCTGAGTCCAATTAAAGTTTCTTATATGAACATGGAACAAAAAATGTATGAAATTTAAAATAGAAAAAAATGTTTTAAATTATAATAGCTATTCACAAAGAAACACACACATATAAACACATACACACAGAGAAAATTACCATGTGTGTGCATGACTATATAGGTACTGGTCAAATTAAGAATATCAGAATGTCATTTACTCAGCTGGATTAGATTGAAGTGAAAAGCAGTTGCTGCTCTTACAGAGGACTCAGGTTTGGTTTCAAGAGCAGTTATTAGGTGGTGCAAAACTTCCTTTATATACAGCACCTGGGGACCCAAAACATTTTCCCGGGCTCCACAGGCATTTGCAGTCATGTACACACACACACACACACACACACACACACACACACACACACACACACAGAGGCATAATTAAAACTAAAAAAATAAAAAATTAACAATGCTGTTTGATATTTTTAATGAAACATTTTCTTCTTTGCCGAGTATTCTTTTTCACTAGGAAGAGTAAACAACAAATTTTTCTGCCTCTTAAGATTATGATAATACACCCAGATTTATATTGTACTTGTCTTAATATTCAAGGTTGGTCACTGTTTTTAATCAAAGCAGCTTGCAAGAACAGAAAATAGATTCCAAGTAAAATTCGTTGTTCAGTGTGGCAATGATCACAACCCAGTGATCATATCAGCTGAGAGGAAGTTGTTAGTGATAAGGAGGAGTTAATGTTCTGGTACTTCAGGAATTATATGTGTATAAGTGTGTCAGGAAGGAGAGGGGAAGACAAGAAGGATCGAGATTCTTGGAATAATGGGGAAACAAACGGTATTAATTATCTGTCTTTAAACTCGTGATATTGCTCATGGAGAACAATCAACATGATAATGCAAAATGTAGCATCAAAGCTCAGGCTGAATCTCACTTTTATGACTGAATGTATATTATCTTTCCTATACCTATCATATGAAAGGCCACTCTGCAACCATGCCATTAAAATAATGATCAGTTGATTGGAATTAGTTAAATGTGTCATATGGATTGGATATGAAACTGTGAATACGGGATGTAATTTACACAAAAGTTCTCAAGAAACGCAATCTGTGTGTCTACTGTGTCTCATGAATCCCCAGAAGTTCCCTGATGCTCCACAGGACTTTCATAGGAACCATGAGGACCACTTCACAGGTGCTGCTCCTAAGGTATCAAGATGAAGGCAGGGTTAAGAAGTAGCTACTTAACAACAGCTTATTCTATGTGCCTTTGTCTCAGAATGAAGTATTTTGATTTGTGTTGCTGAATGTGGTATTTATTAGTCTCATAACGTAGGAAGAGATGACTGTTTTATGAGTCAGGGAATGATTCCTGAAGACAAACTTGAAGCTTTGAACTTCAGTTGTGGCCAGTGCACAGGTGGAAGTCAGCTGTACTTCTTTTTCCCCAAATTTCCTTTTCCGTATGTTCCTCCTGCACAAGATGGTAGCTGCATCCCAAGAAGACAGTAGCTCTTACCCAAGAGAAATGATCCATTTGTAAATAGTGTAGACAATACTTACACGAACTAGTTAGTTTTCAACATTCTGTTGCTTCAGAGAGCAGTTTGTGTCTTGTCAGGCAGGTACTTAGTTTTTCCCTTCACCAACTCCTTCACCTGTTGATGGATTTAGTAAATAATTCATAAATATTAAATAAGATACCATGTTGATAACATTAAGAAAGTGATACTTATGAGGGTCTAATCTATTCAACCATAGAATTCTTACATTTCTAACTTCTTAAGTTACAGGGAGACATACACACATATATGCATATTATAATATATATTATTACATAAATTACTAGTATATATGTAATTCTCAGAATTATTTGATATAATTAAGAGATTCACTTTCTTCATCAAGTGGTAACACACATGATTCAAGTATACACACACCCACACACTCACAAAAAAATATATAAATATATAACTCATGTGACAATGCCATTTTGTGCTGTTTATTAAGAAACCAAAGCATAAAACCTGAAGCAGAGTATAAACACAGCTGTATGAGTGAGGGAAAATCACTTGCAGAATTGCAGAAGACAGATGCTATATCCTTCATATCACAGAAGGATGAAAATTGTGTGCCCACAATGTCTTAATTGGTTTCCCAATTTTCATAGTTTTAGAAACTGATCCCTTGAAAATTATAAATGTAGTTCTATAGGGCAATGAAAACTTCTGTTATTTGTTAAATTGGGTTTTTATATTCATATTAACCAAAGTCCAAGATGACAGCAGTCAAGGTGATGAACGATTGTTGAAATAATGGATTGAGTACCATGTTTCTAAGGTTATGAAGTTCAGGAAAATATGTAATTATGTCTATGTTTCCCAAGGTTGGTCTGTTCAACATTATGCTATGAAATACAGCAGGGTCAGTTTCAGATATGAAATTCAAATCAAAAGGTGCTGCCCTGCTGTTGATGCCAGGGTTAATCATGCAAATCTAATACAGTTCTTGGTATTTCAGGAACTGCTGAGGTGAAGTCCCATGCATGTATTGATTCAAAATCACTACTCTCCAGAGCAATAATTCCTCAGCTTCAACATTAAACTGAATAAGCTTTGGAGACAGATTTGAAGACTGGATATTCTTCTATGCTGGTTAATCATCAAGTGAACTGTAAAATCTATGCTGGTTAATCATCAAGTGAACTGTAAATGGGAACAGGCTGGGGAGACAGGAGATAGAGTTCCTAAGATAGAATTATATATATATATATATATATATGAAAATTAATGAGTATGTCATAACCAAATTTACAAATATTGTACAGAAAATCTCAAAGAACGAAAGTCAAATCAAGTATATATGCATATGTACTCGATGTCTGCTCACTTAGAAAATGGCAAAAAGCTGGCCTTGGAATACAAATTTTAAAAAATGTTTATCTATATTTATAGTTATATTATATATGTATATAGATAAATAGATATGGATTTAAGTATATATCTAAATATTTATATATTTAAACCCATACATATTTCCATCTATACATGTCACAAATTCCTAAATTTGGGAATGGGATGGAGATATGTTTAGAAATGAGACTATTTACAGAAAGAAAAGAAATCAACTTGTTCACAGCACAGAATATCAAATTGTAACATCCTGGCTTCTGTGCACAATCAGCTTATCTTACCAAGAACAATGAAATCTCACACAGCTGTCTGACATGAATGACTTTTACATATCTCCATATTGCTGACTGTCTTGTAAGTTAATCTCATCTTACATGAATTTTTCACCAGCTTCACTCTGATGTTGATAAAGGAGATGGTTCCATCAAATACATCTTGTCAGGCGAAGGGGCGAGTTCCATTTTCATTATTGATGAGAACACTGGGGATATTCATGCCACCAAGAGACTGGACCGGGAGGAGCAGGCCTATTACACACTCAGAGCCCAAGCTCTGGACAGACTCACCAACAAGCCTGTGGAGCCCGAATCCGAGTTTGTTATCAAAATCCAGGATATCAATGACAATGAGCCCAAATTTCTGGATGGCCCATACACAGCAGGAGTTCCTGAAATGTCTCCTGTGGGTAAGTAAAAAGCATGCTGTTTTTGTAATAAGTATGTGAAAAATACACTGGTACATGCAGTGACGGTCAGAATGGAAGAAAACTGGTGCCACGCTAGCAGCCAAGACACATTCATTCAAATCCTCATCTACCGTTTGGAAGATCAGGAGATAGTTTATTCTTGTGTTTTTTATTTTTACACTTTATAATTAATTTTACACTGTTCCTTTGGCCCAACTCTCATGTCTTTAAGAAATGGCTTGTGCATTTTCCTTTCTATCAAATAATTATTGTTTAGAAATATGATTACAATCATGTTTGACAAATTATTTTTTAAAAAGTATCTTTCACTGTATGTTCTTTCATCCCTCCTCCTCCTCCTCTTCCTCCTCCTTCTCCTCCTCCTTTTTCTCCTTCTTCTTTATCCTTCTCCCTTTTTAGTGGCAGATTGATCTAGAGACTCCAAAAAAAAAAAAAAAGAAAGCAAACTAACAAACTCTTCTCTGACTAATCGGGCAATGATCCCCTTATCTTGTCCTTTCTGTTGTTACAAGAAGGTTGCTGGTGGCAATCCAGGTCAGTACAGGGCTGCTGCTCCACTACCTGTATTTCGTATCCAATGCTCACCACCACTAATCCTTTTGTAATCTCTTCACATATAAATTAAATATTGAGTTGTTTTTCATAAAAGTAAAGAAATAGTTGAGAAAGAGAAAACAATAAAAAGCCTCTTACTCTAAGGTCTTTCAGCAATTCTCCATTACAAAAATATGCAAATTACTCATTTTACTTTATGTCAAATATTATAAATTCTGCTTTAAATTTCAGTGTTTAGAGTATTTCTCCAACAGCATTTTTTAAGCTGGTATGTAATTCATGTATATAAATTATTTTTAATGGGACTGTAAAATAGGAAATCTAATCGTTGTTGGTTTTATTATTGAAGGAGGAAGCTCATTTAAGATATTACTAAAATTTATAGCACATGGACATTTTAACCACCATGCTTTGTCTTGTTTTACTCATTCAGTCCTTTGTCTCATGCTATAACCCCGGGGGGTGGGGATTGCACAGGTATGCACTCCACACAGGGCATCACGATTCAGAACCCAGTCTGCTGGGGACATGTGGCTCTAGCTGCTGGAGAAATTCAATCTGAAAACAGAGAACCATCAGGACTTGTAGTCATTAAATGTTCTAAACCTTAGTGGGGAGGTTCTAGCGATAATACATAGATGTGCATGTCTGTTACAAAGCAAATGTATTCCCTTTTTCTTAATTCTGGCCATCCCTTCAAAGTGTTTCTTGCACCTGCTGTTTGACAAGAATAACAGTAGCAATTCAGTGACAATGAGATTTGGGTGGGGGCTTGTGAGAAGTTGGCAATTTCCTCCCCCAATTAATAATGTTTGGTAAAACTTCTGTCTAATGGTATTTGTGGTATTTTTCATTAACTAGTAAGTTTAGCATTGAATCTAATTAGTTGTATTCCAAATTATATTTTAGAGATTACCTAAAGAACCACTGATTTGATTTGGAGGACTCTACTCCAGTATCAAGAAGTATGATTATCATACACACATGCAAATTATTTTATTAAATTAATTGATTTGAATGAGTTAAAACATTTAAGAAAATTGTTTTTATATACCTTTAGAATTTATTGAACACTTATTTAAACCACTTGATTAATAAAATTTTCAAACTTTGAACACTGAATATCAATAAAAACTGAAATTTAGTAACAATATATTAAAGCTTACTAAAGTGTTTAATTCTCACAAAATAGTTATAATAGCATTGATGATACGGTGAATAGCTCATAAGCATTCAGTTTCTAATACTAGAGTTCTTTTTAAATTTTCAGTCGGACATGTTTTATAAATGATAATAAGGCTATTGTATAATTTCTAAATTGCTACAGAGCTTAGAAAAGCATAGACTAGGAAGAAAGCTCAGTCAGTAAAGTATTTGCCATGAAAGCATGAGGCTCTGAGCTCAATCCCATGACCCATATTAAAAGCTGGCAGTGCACACTTATAATCCCAACACTGGGAGGCTGAGACAGGGAGATTCCTGGGTTTGCTTACTATTTAGCCTTGTCTACTCAGTGAGGTCCAGATAAGGACAGCCTGTACCTACTCCAAAGGTAAGTAGGAAGAGTTCATGCTACTCCTCAACTAAAATCTCCCATGTTACCATAAGATGTATCAAAATTAATGTTTCTTAGTTTATCATGAGAGGCATACCATTTCTTATTGTTCACAGAGAACAAGTCTCATCTCAAATTCACTTTTCCAATGTTTTTTCTATTCCATATGTGACTGTTTTACACATATCTCGATAGTATCCAAATAAAACTCAATCACACATATAAGAGGATAAATTAGAGGATATTTTACTGATTTTTATTTTGTATATGAATAAGAAGCCTGAGTAAAAGTTGTGATCTATTCATTATTATGTTTCTTATCATTAAGAAGTTTTACAATAGAAAAAATATACAGTGCTAACAAGAACTATGAGAGTTATCCCAGAATTTGAGTTAGAATAGATGTTTTCTTGTATTGCAAATTTATTCGAAAAGATTATTTACTTTCAGTGTTGGAACTAATTCTAACATACAGAATTCAATTAAAAACATCCTGCCTCTGGATATATTAAGTTGAAAAAAAATGGTGTTTTAGTATGATGCACATGGTGGACCTCTAGCCTCCAGACAAGTACACCATCTACACACACATACACAGCCATTGATATACACTCTCAAACTTTATTTACAAATATGCCTGTATATGTACTTATTAAATAATTTAAATGTGATGATAAACTAAAAATTTACTTAATTTTCACATTTACAAATCTTTAAAATGTAACTTTTAGGTTGATTTAGGAATACATATCGTTCACCATATTGGTTCTGTGAGACATAGTCAATGAAGTTTACCAAAAAAGGTACAAAGCACAAACAATTTTTATAACTTAACTTTGTAATTTCTATTCAACTATAAGGGAAATAGAATTAGTAATGAATATTAAAATATGAAAATTGAGTGGAATTCTGAAAAAAAAGGTTTGAGTGAAATAATCATTAAGAAAAAAATCTATGCAAAGTACAAGTAAAGATGATAGTAGATTTAAAGTTCCATATTTAGAAGCAATTGTAACCAAACTCATACTCAAAGTACCAAACTGGTACCTTTCCTTATGCATCAGTCAGAGCATGATGCATGAGACACCTATTATCTAACCTCATTTGGCTTTAATATTCATCATTCTGTAGTGTCTTTGCCTACATACTTCCATATTGGTTGAAATATTAAGGCAACTCCACGTAGTTAAAAGGGAGGTTTATTTTGTGGGGTAACTCACAAGTGAAGAGAAAGGTTACAGGGTCTGGGAAAGGTGAAGCACAGTCTAGCAGTGTTCTCTGGAGAACTCTGCTGGGTCTACCTCCAGCGTCCAGGATCCAGGAACCAAGAGAGCCAGCACTTCAGGATCTCAGGTCTTAAGCGTTTCTGTCTCGGCCCCACCTTGTAGGCCTGACAGTTACTGGAAGCCTCAATAGGGGTAGTACTTCCAGGACAAAACTGGAACAGCTACCCACTACATCTCCCCCTTTTGTCTAAAAAAGAAAGTTAACAGCTACCCACTACACTTTCATATCACCTATCAAGAATTTTATTAACATTTATTTCCTTTATTTGGTTTAAAAAAAATACACTAGATTGATAACTCATGTGCTTTGATGAAGATAACTTAAAACTAACAAAAAAATGAAGCCTAGAATTTGTGACAGTTTGTGAGCTTTTAGTGCCCTCATACTTGGGAAATTTAATCCAAAGACTTTTTGGTTGTCACCTAGGGACTTCAGTGGTACAAGTGACAGCCACAGATGCTGATGATCCTACCTATGGCAACAGTGCTCGGGTGGTCTACAGTATTTTGCAAGGACAGCCATATTTTTCTGTGGAACCAAAGACAGGTAGGAAATAAAATTTGCACTTACTGTAGTTATCATTTATATCCTGCTTTATTGTAGCACAAATCCTAATTGGTCTAAATAATAAAAACCTGGAGTCGGATATAATGGTAAATGCTGAAAGATTAGAGAGACAAAGAGCAAACCACAGCCACCATCTCTTATCTTGTCAACTCCTCAGCCTGAAAGAAATGAGCTCCTGTCTCCTCTCACCTTGTATTCCTCTGTCCACCCAGCCATATCACTTCCTGTCTCTACCTCTCTAGTGCTGAGATTAAAGTCATGAGATCCCAAATGCTGGGATCAAAGGTGTGTGCCACCACTGTCTGGCTCTGTTTCTCTTTTAGACTGGATTAATCTTGTGTAGCCCATGGTGGCTTTGAATTCACAGAGATCTTCACCAAGATAGGAAAAATAATATAGTATTTTTCTGAATTTGTCAAATATTAATAGACTAGACATTATTGATGTATTTATTGCCTGTATATATTGTATATAGTTATTGTACTTATTGTATATAGTTTCTTTTATATTAGTTATAACCTTTTTTTTATTTTAGACTAAAAGGGGAAATGTGGTGATATTTTGTTTGTGATCTAACAAATAAAGCTTGCCTGAAGATTAGAGTATGGAGCTAAGGCATTAGTTAGGCCATAGAGGCCAAACATTGGTGGCACACATGTTTAATTCTAACATACTGTCAGCAGTTGGGGCAAGGGCACTTTCTTGCCCAGTGACTAACTTTTGCCACAAAGAAAGTAAACTCCAATGCCCATTGTCCGCTCTGAAATAGATTGGTGCTGCCAGGAGCAGACGTGTCTCATTGTCATAAAAAAAAAGAACCTAAGTTGTTAAATATTTTAAATGCCATATTCTGTAGATCTCTGAAGTGTTTCAAGACTCCTGTCTACCTAGAATATACATGTTTGACCCTTAAAATGTACTTAATATGACTACAATTGTGATTGTAATAGGTGACTAACTACTAACCTACATTTCTTTATTATCCTAAATAGTTGGTAATATTAACTTTCAAGGACTAGTAATTTACATTACATTGTTAAATGAGATGTACTGGTACAATGCCTTGAACAAGATTAGAAATGTATGTACAGTATGTTTTAACATAAATAATCTTAACTTTGTATCAATATACAAAGATCAATATCAATGTAAAATATTGTAAATTAGTAGTTGCTTTTTTGGTTTAAAAGTAGATTCAATAACCTACCCTTTTGTCCTATCATATGTATATCCCCCTTTTTTTCTTTTCAAAACAAGAACCCTGAATCTCAACTCCTTTGTTCAGCTTTTTTCCTGACCATTACCAATAACAACTTGTAACCAACCCCCCTAAACAATAACAAATATCCATAACCCACTGAATGACCAAAACCCACCACTCTACCTCTTGGGAATGTGGGCATTGTGTTCTTAAATTTATTTTCTGCTGTCTGGGGGTGATGGCATCTTTAGGGGATCCTAAAAAGAGAAATTTGGGTTAATTGTCAAGTCCTGAGATAGGTAGCTATATCATTTGCTGTTTAGTCTCTGTGTAATGGGAAAGTGCAGGGCTTGTCTCAAGTCCTGGATAGAGTAGTCTGAGGCTGGATCATCTCAGCTAGACAGCTTGACATTGTCCTGAGCAATTTGTAGTCCAAAGCTGATCTTTAGGTAGTGTTTTTCAACTTAGTAGAGTTATCATAGTCCCTGTAGAATCATCATTGTGGGGTCCCATTATCCTTTTAGAGACTTCAAAGGTAATGATTCACTGCAGAAAACTGATAAAGATTCAAACCCAAAATCAAGTACAGGAAGCTAGATGAAGTCTTTTTTTCTAGAAATAATTAGTACTCTATATGAACATTAATATCATGACAAAAAGTTTAATATATATATTGCACATATATTTATCAGTATATATATATATATATATATATATATAGTGATCTTATAAATTTTGAGATAATATTCATACCTTAAGAAAAGCTTCAGCTGGGCGGTGGAGGTGCATGCCTTTAATCCCAGCACTCGGGAGGCAGAGGCAGGTGGATCTCTGTGAGTTCTAGGCCAGCCTGGGCTACAGAGTGAGTTCCAGGAAAGGCACAAAGCTACTCAGAGAAACCCCTTCTCAAAAAAAAAAAAAGAACAGAAAAAGCAAAGAAAAGCTTCAAGGAGTCAAAATAAAACCAAGGATCATGAGTTTAGTAGTAATAGTAATAGGTCCTTAACTTTAGTTTTTCATCTAGCCCATATTAGCTTACATTAATATTTATTTTCTATTATTATAATAATAATGGGTATTTTTTATTTTGCTCTTCTCAATATGTCAAAATTACCAAAAATAACTATATTAGGAAGGAGTTCACCTTACTTTATTCCATTTACCTGTATCCATGAAAATACTAAATCCAATGCTATTCACAATTATTTCAGATGTGACTCCTGAACTTATTAGGATATTTTGTTTACCTGCTTGCATGTTTCATTTTTATTTTCTTTAATCAACCCATGTGGAAAATTAGAAAATTCATAATTTAAAACAAGCAAAATATTTTCTCGTGAAGCCTACGATATGAAGTATGTCTAATTCATACTTCCAGATGTCAATTTGTAGGAAAAATAGAAGAAACTATGAAGTTTGTTAAATACTAAATATAAAACAAAATAAGTTTTTTTCATTTTATATTAAATTTTTATAAGATGCAAAGTTCTATTAATAGAATATTTATAGAGTTGGCTTAGAAATAATTTTAAGTAAAAAGTATAGTATGGATTGATGTGGCTGGAAGTTTTCCTGTGTCCTGCCCAGTCCACAGCCACTCAGACCATTTAGAAATCCGTCTACAGATTGAATTGTCTGGCAGTAGAGGCATACACTTTAATTACAGCAGCTGGGTAGGAGAAGCTAGTGGATCTCTGTGACTTCAAGGCCAGCCTGATCTACAGAGTGGGTTCTACAACAGTCAGGGCTACGCAGAGAAACCCAGTCTTGAAAAACAAACAAACAAACAAAAGTTTAAATTGAGTGATATTATACTTGAAGCATTATTTTTGCTACAAAATGATTATATAATATTGGCTTCTTTACTCTCTGTCATTGTATGGAGAGCTGGCTTGTCTCACTATTTTAAATATGCCTTATTGAATATTTTTTCCCATTAAATCACAAAAAAAATTAAAAATTTAGCTTTTTAAGTTGCAGAATTCCTAAAGTGAATGCATTCTTTTTTTTTTGGGCGGGGGAGTCAAGATAGGGTTTCTCATTATAGTTTTAGTGCCTGTCCTGGATCTCTCTCTGTAGATCAGGCTGGCCTTGAACTCAGAGATCCACCTGGCTCTGCCTCCCAAGTGCTGTAATGAATGGCGTGCACCACCACTGCCTGGCCAAGTGAATGCATTCTTAAAGATATTAGATTACAAGTATGATTCTAATTGAATATTTTAAAGGCAACAATTGCATTGTTCATATTTCCCAAGGGAGCAATATTATTTCATTCTTAAAGCAAGGGCAAATATTCTGAATGCTCTTGTAAAAAATAGTGGTTATGTGCATAAGACGTAAGTAAAATCCTACTCAGTCTTTAGAAGTTCAGTACAGTCAGCAATATATGATGTGGCCTGATGTACATCAAATCAATGATTACTTTGGAAAATACATGGAAATCGAATAGAAAAGAAATTGTTATAATTAAGCAAGTGAGTGTTGAAGGTGAAAAATGAAAGCATTTGACTTATTATATGAGTCATGTCAGTGTAGAAGGTGTGTGTGTGTTTAACTGAAAGTCAGATTAGAGAAACTAAATTCAAGCAACCCTCCTTATGAATGGGAGTCTTCAGCCTGGAATGATTGTGGACCACTGAGGATTTGCTTACAAATTATATGTTCTTGTGTTATGTAACCTACTCCAAATGGCACTTGGTGATACCAAAGGATAAATATTTCACTCCCAATGCTTGCCTTGTGACTGTTAGTCTTGATGCAAATTGTGGAATTTTCCTTCAACATGTAGGTCTGAAATTGCACTAATTAGTCACTTGGCCAGTTGTATGTGCCATAGGATTATATTGTTAGTATTGAAGAAAGTAAACTTGATTTTTCATTTCAAGATATAATACATCCTATTTGGCAGAAATTGAAATAAATTATTTTTAATACTATAATCATGGCAACTATTGGGGCATCTCTCCCTACAATCATTAGCTCAGACAAATTTTGTGCATCTTGGTTTATTAAAATATTTATACTATTTAGAATATACTTTTAAAATATAATTGTGGAAAAATGGAAAATTTTTCAATCATCTGGGCCTAGAGAGCAGGAATCAAATTTTAACATTTCCCTTACAGGTGTCCCTGTAACTTTTATCTATGAGAAGAATAGTATTGTTTTCCATTTCTTCAAATTTAAGGATTTTGTAGAAGAAAGTGGAATTTTGACACAAAAAGATGTTGATAATATACTATATAAAGATCATTGTTTTGGTTTGAATGTGTATGATTGGTTTTTCTACATGCATGTCTGTGCACTGTATTAGTGCATGTTGCCACCAGAGACTACAGGATTCCCTGGGACAGGAAGTACAGATGTTTGTGATCCATCATGCAAGTATTAGAAATAACTTCTGAGCCATCTCTCCAGCTCGCATTGAGGAGTTCTTTCTTGAGTTCACTAGTTGTGATCACTTAATTCTTGCCATATTATCTGAAGACTTGCTTTAAAGTAAATTTTGTTAGTAATTTCGTTATAACATCTGAAACATCTACCCCCATATGCCTTCCATTAGTCTGCATTTTCTGAAGTGATTCATGCAGTGTTTTAAAGACAAGCTCTCTCATCATTGACCTAGACCTCCTCAAGTCAGGTAGGCTGGCTGGCCAGGGAACCCAAAGATTCGCTTGTCTCCACATCCTCAGTGCACACTACAATGTCTAGCTCTTTCAGTTGGGTTCTGGTAATCAAACTCAGGTGCTGATGCTTTCAGGGCCACCATTATCTCCAT